AGGGCAATCCAAAGTCTAGGGGATGTGGAAGGTGAGGAGAGAGAAGGATGCTGTTGCCAGGCAACACATCTGGTTTTTCAAGCTGCTAATCGAATCAGTGTAATTGCTAGTTTGAAATTGCTGGTTTATTCCTGACTAGAGGAAGCTGCCTGGAGTTTATGTGCCTCTTAAAAGAGACAAGTGACTCTGCAGTTCATCCAGAAGGGCCGGGGAGACATCTGGCAGAATCACCCTACCACCTGGCAGCATCTCCCCGTCTCTTCCCAGTTCTGTTCCAGGCCACACTCCCTTGAAGTCTGTGTGATGATGTTTCTGGGTGGACACCGATGACTGACTCGGAACGTGGCTTCTCCCACCCACCAGTCTCACTCTGGAATGATTTACAGCAGTGACTCCCTACTGGTTTTGAAAAATAAACACACCCACTTGCCTGCTTACCTCCACTTATTATCAGTTATCTAAAAGCGAGTTACATTTTATTATTTGCAGTTCAAAGTGAACTTAAATTCATGCTAAATTTTAAATGCATATACATATGACTTTTAATTTTTATTTAATTTTATTGATTTTAGAGAGGGAGAAAGGGGAGGTAGTGAGGGGGGGGAGAGAGAGAGGAGGGGGAGAGGGAGGGAGAGAGAGAGAGAGAGAGAGAGAGAGAGAGAGAGAGAGAGAGAGCGCAACTTGAGAGAGACACATTGATCTGCTGCCTTCCATACATGCTCTGACCAGGGATCAAACCCACAACCTAGGTATGTGCCCTAACTGGGAATCGAATTGGTGACCTTTTGGTGCATGGAGACGCTCCAATTGAGCCAAACCACCAGTCAGGGCACACATGACTTTTGTGAGAAGTGGAGGGTATTGTGAAATCAAGCAAATAAGATAGTGTGATACAACTCTGACACGTCTGAGAACCACTGATGTGAGCCCAACTCAAACAAGTAAGAATTTGTCTACCTTGGCATTAATGACACTTTGGGCCACAGAATTATTTTTTCTGTTTTTTAAGAATACTTTTTCTATGAAACACTTTTTTTTCCAATTGAAGTTGACATTCAATATTGGACCACATAATACTTTGCTGTAGGGGGCTGTCCTGTGCTTCGTAGGATGTTCAGCAGCATCCCTGGTCTCTACGCTGATGCTAAGCAGCACCACTCTCTCCTACCTGAGTTGTGACTATGGCAAAGGTCCCTTGACAGGCCTCAGATGAGAACCAAGGAAACTAATATGTGTGTGTGTGTGTGTGTGTGTGTGTGTGTGTGTGTATTTTATAATATATTTTTATTGATTTCAGAGAGGAAGGGAGAGGAAGAGAGAGAGAGAGAAACATCAATGATGAGAGAGAATCATTGATCAGATGGATGCCTCCTACACACCCCACAATGGGGCTCGGGCCTGCGATCTGGGCATGTGTGCCCTGGCTGGGAATCGAAATGTAAGCTGGTTCATAGGTCGACTCTCAACCACTGAGCCACGCCAGCAGAATGTATATGAAAGTATTCTATCTAGACTTTGCAGTAGAAAATGACATTCTTCTAACATTTAAAAAATATTTTTCTTAATTACCCAATAAACATATGAATACATTCTCTTGGTAAAAGATGCAAACAGTACCGAGTTACAGATCAAACTGTGAAAATCTGAATGCTCCCTCTGACTTCACCCTTGTCTCCTGTCTGCCTCTTTCTAATTTGCTCTCCAATAATATTTTTATTTCTTCCTTCCAACAGGTTCCAAACATCTTCATTTGGTCCATGGGAGGATTTTAACCATTTCAACAAATAAGGAGTTTTTTTGTTTTTTTTTTTAACTTGCATGGTTCTAATTTCAATCCACAACATTTTTTAAAGGCCCATTTCAAATTCTCACCAAGCACAATATCTACAAACTTTTAAAATTTCTTCTACAAAGGAGATTTGCCTATTCTCTATTCAATCACTTGTTTAAATCAGTTTGGACTTACAGATATTTATTTTATACTTTGGCTTATAATCAAAGTCTTTATAATAGTTCTATAAATCTAAAACCTCAAAGACTTTTCATAAATTAAAAAAAAAAAATCCCCAACAACCTCAGTAAGAACACACGGTATAGCCCAATGGTTCCCAGCGTGTGCTTCCACAGTAGCCTCGCCTGACAATCATTAGAAATGCAAATTCTGAAGCCCCTCTCCAGACCTGTTCAAGGAGAGACTCTCTTCAGTGAGAGACTGTAGGGCTGGGACTCCACAATCTGAGCTTCAAAAAGCTCTCTGGGCGATTCTGAGACTAACATGTGAGAACTGTTGGTAAGTAGATAAAAGCTCAAGATTCAGGTAAGTAAACGGAATCTGTAAGAAAACACCCGAACTAAGGCCAACCTGCCCTGCCCTGGTAGAGACAGAGTGAGGATCTTACTTTCCCAAATAGAGATAGTAAGAACTCAGAGACAAGCATGAATACTTCATTTTATTCTTTAAAAATATATTTTATTGATTTTTTATAGAGAGGAAGGGAGAGGGATAGCGAGTTAGAAACATCGATGAGAGAGAAACATTGATCAGCTGCCTCCTGCACACCTCCTACTGGGGATGTGCCTGCAACCCAGGTACATGCCCTTGACTGGAATCGAACCTGGGACCCTTCAGTCTGCAGTCCGATGCTCTCTCCTCTGAGCCGAACCGGTTAGGGCTGAATACTTCATTTTAAATCTTGGTTCACCATCCTTACACTAGACATGGAGGTTGAGGGTTGTTTTTTTTTTTTTTTTTAAATATATTTTTATTGATTAAGATATTACATATGTGTCCTTGTCCCCACGTTACCCTCTACCCACCCCCCCCCCGCTCATGCCCTCACCCCCCCCCCCCCCCGTTGTCCGTGTCCATTGGTTAGGCCTATATGCCTGCATGTAAGTCCTTTGGTTGATCTTTCCCCCTTATCCCCACCCTCCCCTACCCTCCCTCCAAAGCCCGACAGTCCAATCAATGCCTCTCCATCTCTGGATCAGTCCTTGTTCATCAGTTTATGTTGTTCATTATATTCCACAAATGAGTGAGATCATGTGGTGTTTATCCGCTCTCCAGTTCCATCCATGCTGTGGCAAATGGTAAGAGTTCCTTTTTCTTCTTCCTCTTCTTAAAGAATACCTTTCAGCATTTCATATAATGCTGGTTTGGTGGTGATGAACTCCTTTAGCTTTTTCTTATCCATGAAGCTCTTTCTCTGACCTTCTATTCTGAATGATAGCTTTGCTGGATAAAGTAATCTTGGTTGCAGGTTCATGCTATTCATCACTTTGAATATTTCTTGCCACTCCCTTCTGGCCTGCATGGTTTCTGTTGAGAAATCAGCTGACAGTCGTATGGGTACTCCCTTGTAGGTAACTGACTGTCTTTCTCTTGCTGCTTTTAAGATTCTCTCTTTGTCTTTTGCTCTTGGCATTTTAATGATGATGTGTCTTGGTGTGGTCCTCTTTGGATTCCTTTTGTTTGGGGTTCTCTGCGCTTCCTGGACTTGGAAGTCTATTTCTTTCACCAGGTGGGGGAAGTTTTCTGTCATTATTTCTTCAAATAGGTTTTCAATATCTTGCCCTTTCTCTTCTTCTGGTACCCCTATAATTCTGATGTTGGTACGCTTGAAGTTGTCCCAGAGGCTCCTTACACTATCTTCATATTTTTGGAATCTCTTTTCTTTTTTCTTTTTCAGTTGGGTATTTTTTGTTTCTTTGTATTTCAAATCTTTGACTTGATTTTTGGGATCCTCTTGTCTGCTGTTGGATCTCCGTAGATTATTCTTTATTTCAGTCAGTGTATGCTTAATTTCTAGTTGGTCCTTTTTCATGTCCTCCATGGTCTCACTATACTTATTGAGGGACTCATTAAATTTATCGGCGGTTTCCATAAAATTCTTGAAAAACCTTATAAACGTGGCCTTGAACTCTATATCCAGTCGTTTGCTTTCCTCCATTTCTGCCATTTGTGACCTGTTTCTTTGTCTCCGCATTTTGGCAGCTTCCCTGTGTTGATAGAGTGGCTTTGTGTGCTAGGTGTCCTGTACGGCCCAGTGGCTCAGCCTCCCCAGTTACCTGAGGTGGACACTCTTGGTGCACCCCCTCGTGGGCTTTGTGCACAGTCTTGTTGTAGCTATGCCTTGGTTGTTGTAGGATCACTGGGAGGAATTGACCTCCAGGGCAATTGGCAGCGAGAATCAGCTGTGTCTGCAGTGGGAGAACTTCTGTGCTGGAGACACCCTTCTGGGGCAAGACTTGCTTCAGTGGGGCTTTGGTGCTCACTGAGACTGCACCCTGAGTGTGTCCCTTATGGATCTGAGGAGTTGTGATCTGGATGGTCCCCCCTCTGACCACTGGGTACAGTGGCTCTTGGATCTAAGGAGGTGCTAATTTAGCCTCGCCTGAGGTTACACAGCAGGAACTACAAAGAGAACTGCAGATTCCCCTTCCTTTTTTTTGGAGTTTGGAAGTGCCCTGATGATGCTCAGCTGTGTAGCAATGCAAGCTGCTGTGGGGCCTTGGGCCTTCTCTTGGAAGCTCTGGGTCTACCTGGCCTGGCTGTGGTTAGGTAATTACAGGTTGCAAATGGCCGGGGCATTCATATGCAAAAGCCTCTGCCACAGCCTGGGCGGGGCGGGGTCTCAAGGAATCAAAGGGCGGAGAAAGCAGCTATGGCGGAGCCTCAGCCCCGTCCTAAGGAGTCGCGAGTCCCAGTGTCCCGGCAATGGCTGCAAGCACCTCTGAGGGAAAGCCGCTCTCAAGCTCGCCCGCTGCCAGACAGTACAGTTTCTCCCCGTATGAGTCCTGGGTCCCCAGGGACTTCCCGGGACGGATTTCAGAGCCGTCGGGAGCTTGTCTCTCCCTCCAGATTCAAAAAGACAGCCGCTTCCTCAGGTGCCAGACCCTTTAGCGCGCGCGAGCCCCCGTACCTCTGCACTCCACCTACGCAGCTCCTCCCGCTCGCAGTGTGCTTTTCTTTCCTCCTAGTTGTAGAATTTACACTCAGCCAGCCCTCCTGTAGTTCTGGATGATGTCCACCTTGTGTTTTTGATGCATTTATCGATTGTTGTGGGAAGCAGCAATTTCCCGGTGTTTATCTATGCCGCCATCTTAGTTTCTCTCCGAGGGTTGTTGAAGATAGAGAAGACCTGCCCTTTCCCATTGAGAAACTCATACTCTAGGATGAGAGAAAGCCTGGTGTACTAGTAATTGCACTGTGATGTGACGGGTAACACCAAGAAGTGTGTTCCCAGTGCTCCTGGAGCAAAAAGAAAGAGAAGCACATTCTGCTTGGAAGAAGGGAAGGAAAGATATTCCAGATAGAAGGACTGGCATGTGCAAAGGCATGCAAATTGACTGTGTATGCGTATGCATATATACACACATGTATCTCCTTGCTCTGTCAGCTGAGAAGGCCTGGAAGCAACAACACCCCAATAGCAATGAGCACATCTAGCACCCAGATCTTGGTTTCTAATACCCTTCTCCAATGAAAGGAACTAGGACTCTTTGGAAAAATGACTGATCCTAGGGTTGGGGCAAGATATATACAAAATGTAGCATCTTATAGTGCCAGAAAGTGCTTGGAAACAGAACAAATCAAATGCACAAAAACCAGCAATGATGTCAATGGACATAGTAGCCGACGGAAAGATCTCCCAATGGTCAAAGTTGGAACAATTTGAGCAACAAGATAAAGTAGTGTTGGATTATAAGCCAAAGTATAAAATAAATAAGTCCAAATCGATATAAACAAATGATTGAATAAGTAGAGAATAGGAAAACATCTTGTGCAGAAGAAATTAAAAATAATTTATGTAAACGCTTCACCTCTGAGGAAGTAGAGCATAACTCCCTCTCTTTAAATGTGGGCTGTCCATGGCTAGAGTATGAAAAGGAGAAAAAAAGGAGTGAATTTACAGTGGAGCAGCCAAGAGACCAGGGTTAACACCAACAGTGAGAAGTCATATTGAAAATATGTACTGTTGATGCGATGTGAGGAGAATGGCGCTCTAGCATAAAGGGTCATCTTCCCAGGAGCACGTCACCTCAGTCAAATCATGAGAAAATATCAGACAAGTCCCAATTGAGGGACAGTCTACAAAATACCTGACCACTGATCCTCAAAACTGTCGAGGTCTTAAAATACAACAGAAGTCTCAGAAACTGTCCCAAACAAGAGGAGCTTAAGAAGCCATGACAACCAATGTAACGCGGTGTCCTGGATGGGATCCTGGACCAGGAAAAGGACATCCAGTGAAAACTAAGGAAGTCTGAATGAAGTGAACTTTAGTTAATAAAAATGGATCCATATTGGCTCATTCATTGTGACAAATGTGCCACCCTGATATAAGATGTTAGTAAGGAAAAATTGGCTATGTGGTATGTAGGTCTTCATAATAATTCTGTATATCTAAAACTGTTCTAAAATAAAATGTTTACTTAAAAAAGCCTACAGGGAGCCAATGAATGGAGTCCCACAGAAGAGTGACATCATGTAGTATTGTATGAAATACTACAAAAAATAATTTTAAATTTCTGAACTCTTTGAACGTTGGAGTGCCCATTGCTTGCAGACATTAAGGTGACATCCTGCAAAAAAGAAAAAAAAATCCCGAGGGAGATGGTTGAGAGAGGGGTATATAATATTCTTGCGGACCTCTAACGTGTTGGGGTGTAGTCCTCTAGAGTACCTTAATTCCTGGCCGTGCCTTGGGAATGCTCTGGTTCTCTTTCAGGACCCTCATGTACTTCCCTGGTTGGATCACTTCGGCCATCTGGTGGTTACACTCTGCTGGGCAAAGGATTGTGATAAGAATCCCTGGTGCATTAGTTTTCTGTTATTGTCATAATAACCTTAGTGTTTTAATACAAAAGTTGTTATTTTGCCGAATCTTTATAACACACCTGCCTGATATCTATATATCTATACCTATACCTATATCTCTCTCTCTATATATAAAAGCCTAATATGCAAAGTGTCCCCTTGGCAGTTCGACCGACCAGGAGTTCGATCACTTGCTATGACGTGCGCTGACCACCAGGGGTTGGTGAGGAGTGAAGGAAGGCCCCAGCCGGCAGCTGGGGAAGGGTGGGGCCCTGGCAGGCAGGGACCCTACCTGTGCACTGGGTCTTTACTGACTTCAGAGAGGAAGGGAGAGAGATAGAAACACCAACGAAGAGAATCACTGATGGGTCGCATCCTGCATGCCCCACACTGGGGATCGAGCCCTGGGCATGTGCCCTGACCAGGAATGGAACTGTGACCTCCTGGTTCATAGGTCGACATTCAACCACTGAGCAACACTGGCTAGGCCAGTGAGGGCGAACTTATGACACGCATGTCAGAGGTGACACGCGAACTCATTTTTTTGGTTGATTTTTCTTTGTTAAATGGCATTTAAATATATAACATAAATATCAAAAATATAAATCTTTGTTTTACTATGGTTGCAAATGTCAAAAAATTTCTAAATGTGACACGGCACCAGAGTTAAGTTAGGGTTTTACGCCAAGCTCAAAAGGTTCGCCATCACTGGGCTAGGCTGTCTGATATATCTTTGTTACTTTTTCATTTTTACAGATAGTAATTTCTTGAGGTTTACATTGTATTAAGAGCTGGTTATGTCGTGGATGGTCTCCAAAGCCACCATATTAGCCTTGCACTGCTTTCTCCAAGAATGTTATTTCAGAGAGAAATACACTTACATTTACCACTATTATTTCAGATCTCTGCTAGAGCCGCTGAAGCTATATCCTAATACAGCCTCCAAATACAGTCATCTTCCAAGTTCTATGATTTCTACCTCTGTAGCATTACTCCTGTCCATCCCACTATCTCCATTCCCACTGGCATTCCACTCGTTTCTTTCTTCTCTTAGTTACCAAAAGAGCCTACGAAGTGAGCCAGTCTCTACTCCAATGGTTCGCGAGGCAATTTTGCTTCCTAGGGGATATTTGGCAAAGTTTGGAGATGTCTTTTGTTCTCACAACTGCAGGAGGGGCGTTCTACGGGCCCTTTGTGAATAGAGACTAGGGATGCTGCTAACATCCTACAACGTATGGGCTTGTCCTCCACAACAAAGACGTAGGAGGCTTCAAATGCCAGTAGCGCCGAGGTTGAGAAACCTTGATCTAAGGTATCCCCCACTAATACGTCTATTATATCTGCTGTGACAGGTTCACATTTCGTATCTGACCCATGCCCCTTATTGTGTACACCTGTCAGACTCATGGCTTCCTATCATTGTTTAAACAGCCTTCCTATATTTGGGGAAATTCCAATATATTTTTTTTAAGTTCTGCCTCCCCAGGAAAGGAGTTTGGACCCCAAATTCCAGTCTCTTTTGCAGCCAGGACTCAGGCATGGGACCTGGTCTCTCTCTCAGTCAGATATATCCCTAGGAACCTTTGATTTAGAGGTGAGCAAGGTGAGGAATCAGGCTCTTTTGGGAGCTTGGCACTTTGTTGGTGCAGGAGGCCGCGAAAGTGTGTGGCATTTGAAGGTGGCAGCCATTCCCCAGCGGTGATGCAGTTTCCTCCAGCGTGGGGTGGGTGGCAGCAGCAATCCCAGTCATGGTGGTTTTCTCATCAGGCCAGTTCTTCAGCATGGTTCTGAGCTTCATTCCTGGAAGCTTAGCCTGGAGCCACTTCTCCAATCCTTCCCAGGATTCCCTGAGCTCTCCAGTATCATTTTAACATGTTCTTTTCCCCTTAGTCACCCAGAGTCAGCTTCTATAGCTCAGAACTAAAATCCCTGGTAGCTAAAGACACCCCTGCTTAAAACTCTCCAATGGCTTCCCATACATTCTAGAATGTGCCCCAGATCCTTTCCTTAGCCCAAGGCTAATTTTGATCCAGAGCGGTACCCACTGACCTTTACCCTGGTCCTGCCACCCTTGCCTCAATCCCATATTGCTTGCTACTAAAGAACCCTACTGTCACAGCAACCCTCCTCTAAGTGCCCTAATCCCCAGGACTTTCTCTCATCTCTTTCATAAAAACAACAATTTTTATGCTTTACTACAAGAGTCAATTCACTGTACTGTAAACTGCGTCTTTTCAACCTGAGCACCTAGCACAATGTCTGCCACAAAGGTGATCTATACAGGTTTCCTTAGTGAAGGCCAGGATGTGGACAAGTACTGCCACCTAGGGGGAGAAACTTTACTCAAGTTTTATGATTTGGACAGTGGCTACCAGACAAGGATGAAACTGGCATACTCTCCCCCTCCTCTAGGTTATCTTCATTATTGTCAGACCCTCCCGCAGGGCTCCCAAGGAGCCCTGCCTATTGATTGTATTCATGCCTTTGCGTTGATCTTCCCACGCTGAAGGGCTGGTTTGGGAGCCACAGAATATGACAAAAGTGTTGGTGCCTGACTTTTAAGGCTAGATCACAAGAAGACACCATGGCTTCTGCTTTGGCCTTCCAGCGATCACTGGCACTGACAGAAGCCAGATGCCAGGCCATGGGGGCACTCAAGTGGCCTCATGTGGAGGTCGTGCAGCGTAAAACTGACCTCCTGCCAAAAGTCATGTGAGCAAGCCACACTGGAAGCAGATCTCCAGCCCAAGGTCAAGACATCAGATAAATGGCCTTGTTGGTGTGGCTCAGTGGTTGAGAGTCAACCTATGAACCAGGAGGTCACGGTTCCGGTCAGGGCTCATGCCTGGGTTGTGGGCTTGGCACTCCCCCCCCCCCCCCCAAGAGGGCATGCAGGAGGCAGTCGATCAATGTTTATCTCTCCCTTTCCCTTCCTCTCTCTGAAATGAATAAAAATCAATCAATCAACAAATAAAATATATTAAAAAAAAAAAAGACCAGATAACTGCAGCCTTGGCCTCCATCCTGACTGTAATCGCCCGAGAAGCCAAGACGGAACCACCCAGCCAAGCCAGGCTCCAGTTCCCGACCTGCAGAACCTGTGGGGCAATACGTCTGACGTTTTAAGGTGTTAAGCTTTGGCGTGACTGTTATGCAGCAACAGAATACTAACATACTCTCCGACACAGATCACTGACTACGAGCTGTTTTTTACATTTGGCTGGAATAGGAGGAAACTACCTGAGCCTGGGTTCCACCTGCAGCGGTTCTCAACCTGTGGGTCCCCAACAATGAAAATCCACCCTGCATATCAGATATTTACATGACGATTCATAACAGTAGCAACATTACAGTTATGAAGTAGCAACGAAATAATTTTATGGTTGGGAGTCACCACAACATGAGGAACTGTATGTATTAAAGGGTCCCGGCATGAGGAAGGTTGAGAACCACTGAGGCTTCTCCGAGCAGATGACGCAGGCGCTGGGCGCCACGAAGGGCCCGGGAAAGAACCAGGCACACCTGGGCCTTGCGGCGCGGCAGGGGCGTCGTCTGCAGTCCCCGCTTCAGGGTGAACATTCCCCAGGACCACGTGGAGCGAGTCTGCACAGCCACGGCGGGGGCAGAGCCAAGGCAGCTGCGCCCGGCTGCAGTCCCCGCGCCTGCGCCGTGGGCTCCTCGCGCCCCCAGGTGGCGCCGTTGAGCGCCGAGTCATCGATCGCTAGTCCCCGCGCGCCCGTCTCGCGCAGCCGTCAGCGGCCGCTCGCGGGGTGGGCTGCAGGGGGCGCCCTCCAGAGAGGGGCCGAGCGTCCCGTCGCAGAGTCCGGCAAGCTGCGCGGTGTCTCCCCGTGACCCCTCAGCACCCCTCCCCCAGCTCCGGTAGTCGTCGCTCCGGGGCCGCCGCCGCTGGAGGCAGAAGCCGTCAGGCCGCGCCGTCGTCACCGTCTCCGCCTCTGGGTCCAGGTCCCCGGGCCCTGCCGCCGCCATGAAGCTGCGGGTGCGGCTTCAGAAGCGGACCTGGCCCCTGGAGATGCCGATAGAGGAGCCGACGCTGGGGCAGCTGCGTGCGCACCTGAGCCAGGCCCTGCTGCCCACCTGGGGGTACAGGTACGCGGCCCGGCGGGCGCGGGCGGGGAGGCGCCGGGCCGGCCCGGGGCTGCGGGAGGCGTGGCGGGCGGCGCGGGCCCCGCCGTCACGTGAGGCGGGCGGTGAGCGGGCGTCGCCGGGACGGAGCGGGCGTTGGGTCCCGGCTCGGAGGACATGGCCCGGCGTCCGGGGGGCTCCGTCCCCTTCCAGGGTGAGCTGTCGCTTCCGTTTTTCCAGTAAACGAACCGGGGGATAGGCCGGCGGCGCCCAGAGTTCCCCCGCCCTTGGAGACGTCAAGTTGGAAATTACGGGTTTCGTTTGGGTTAAAACGTATCAGGCCCCCCAGGGAAGTAACTTCACCCTCTCCAGCTGCCGGGGTATTTCAGTGAAAAAGTTTGGAAAGTACTAAAAGGAGTTAGCATCGGCCCCGCCTCCGAGGCCACCTGCACCTTGTTGAGCCGCGCTGAGGCTGCAGTAATCGGAAGGCTTCACTGGGTGTTTACTACGTGCGGGCGCCGCAGTGAGCGCCCTGCAAAGTTTTTATTTTTTTTAAAAAAATGATTTTAGGGTCAAAGACATCGATTTGTTGTTTCACGTATGTGTGCGTTCATGGGTTGATTCTTGTATGTGTCCTGACCGGGGATTGAACCTGCAACCTTGGCCTTTGGGGAGGACTCGCCAACCAACGGAGCTACCCGGCCAGGGACCGCTGCGAAGTTTTGCGAAGTGCAGCGTGTCCGGGTGTTTCAGATAATCCTGTTTTCCTGGGCGAGCTGTTGCTTTTTTTGCTAAAACGAAGGTACACGTGGGCCTTATGATGACTCTGGAGGCAGTGACGTTGAGAAGGAAAGGATCAAAGTCTGTTGTTTATGGGGCTGCAGATGAGGCAGCTTTGTTTCCACTGAGGGTCTCTTTTGGGGACAATAATCTGGGAATAGAGGGACATAAGGGTGATCCTCTTCAAATTTGGAATTTTGTGATAAGAAAAAAAAAATGTTCGCTGGGCCTTTTTAGAGGAATTCTTTAAAAAGAAAACCTTTCTGTTAATTACATGGCTCCTTTTGCAAACTTCCATTCTATTTGTGGGGAATTCAGAAAAATGAGACCATATTATGAACTACTCACCCTTCCATTTTTCAGGTTAAAAGTAGGCCTGATTTTTTCCAAATTAAGACAAAAATAGAAAATGAGGTATTGACATAACCCCCTTTAAACATACTAAGTGACATGCCTATTGTAATTTCTTGGTGTTAAACCTAAGAGTTTTGATGCTGACTTCATTACCCCACCACAAATTTTCAAAATTAACCTCTCTTTTTAAGGTATTTTCATGTGTGTATTATTATTATTATTATTATTTTAATTAGGAGGGGCGGTCTTAAACGGATGTGCAACACAGTGTGACTCCTTGTTTACCCAAGAGCCCAAGTTAGTTTCTCTTTCAAGTTTGTTTTCATAGTAGAGGCTGGTTAACTGGAAGGACTGTAGCTTCTGGATATATGTTCATTTTATAATAGGCAGTTTTAAAATGTGTCCATATGACATTATTATTTTTTAAAATGTCTTGGCTGAGTAAGTGGATCTGGAGTTGCCATAAAACATTTTTTAAAAGGCCTGAAGTTTCTAGGAGGGAATTTCCTGATGAGCTTAAAAGGTCATCAGGAGTAGTTTCTAAAACTTCAGTAATTTCTCAACCAAAGACACTCTAATTGGTAAGAAGAAACGTGAAAGGAAAAACAATGAATTATTTCAAGCACTTTTGAAAATGCAGCGTTGTGAGAAAGAATAAACAGCATGATTTTTCAAAGGACTTCATCCTTTGACTTCAAGAAGTTAATGAAGTCAGTATTGCTGTGTGTAGATGTCTTATAAAATGTTTTACAATTGTTAATTATTGCTTTCCACCACATGGTGAAATGATGGTTATTCTTTCAGGTCAGATACTCTGTGATACAGAAATGGGCCCAAATGCTCACCCAGCCTGTAATTCACTACCTCGCCTCTCCCTCTTGTCTGTATCTCTACCCATCCTAAGGCCCTGCCAAACATAATACTTTAATTTATCTTTATTATCTCTATTGCTTTGGAAACACCTCATTTTTTATCCTGCCTTTTGATTTCTTGTAAGTCTCAAGTGATCATTTTTATTACTTAATTTATTAATAATATATATGTCAGCTTGTTAATGGTTTTGTCTATGTATCACATAGACAGAGGCCCAAATGGGCGCAGGGTTCATTGCTTTAGGATAATTTGAGCTCTGAGCTTATTTACCAGTGATTTTTTGGATTTGTGCTATCTTCCCTGTAAAAGACATCATAGCTGGTCATCAGAAAGAAGAGAACTTACACTTACCAGTAGGAGGAATGAATTTGTATTCAGTCATCTACATATACTCGTCCAGCTTTTTGTGATTACGAATATTCATTTAGGACATGGGTCTAGTATTTTGGAACCGACATAGCTAACTGTCCTGTAAGGGCATTGAATGGGTAGCCTGATTTCAGTCTCATCCAATGTTGGTTGCATTTATTCCACAAATATTTTTATTTGCCACGTGCTGCAGATACAGTTTTGAACTAGACAGACAAGATACCTGATCTTATGAAACTTAACTTCTAATGTGGGGGTTTGGAAAGAGAGACAACATATAAATAAGTATATTTTCAAATAACGGAGTTACAATAAAAATAAACATGAGAATGAAATCAAGTGATGGAGATTGGTGGAAGGCATCTCTGAAGAGGTGACTTCTGAGTTGAGACCTGAGTGATGGGAGTCAGTTGAGCTGGAAGAGCAAATGCAGAGGCCCAAAGTCTGCAATGAAGTAGATTTGTTTTGAGGACAGATAGAAAGCTCATGTGAATAGAGAACAGTCCGTGAGAGGAAGGATGGCGCAAGGTGGGTGAGGTAGAGAAGCAGGTTGGGGTCAACTCTTGGGCTTGGAGGCCATGCTAAGGACTCTGTTCCAAGTTCAATAGAAACCATTGGAGGATTTTCAGCAGAGGAATGCTATAATTTACATTTTGAAAAGACTGTATTTTATTGAATCTCAGTTGCTGTCACTCTTAAGAGATTGTTTTATGTAACACTAAAGGAAAAAATGCTGTCTGTTAAGCTGTGATATGTCATAGATTTTAAGAAGCATCCTTATTTCAAAGATCAAAATACAAAAAGTATGTGTCTTAGAACTGATGAAAACATGGATTAATGATAGATAATTACTGTATCCTATCCCACAGGCTAGAATTGTTGCCATTAGAAATCTGTAACCTAGGCATTTGGTGATAAGAACAAATAATTTGGTTGTTTTTCCAAACTTTGGCTTCCTTCTTATTTTTGTTTCATTTTCATTATTTAGTTTGTCTAGGGCAGGGGTGGGCAAACTTTTTGACTCGAGGGCCACAATGGGTTCTTAAAGTGGACCGGAGGGCCGGAACAAAAGCATGGATGGAGTGTTTGAGTGAACTAATATAAATTCAAAGTAAACATCATTACATAAAAGGGTACGGTCTTTTTTTTTTTAGTTTTATTCATTTCAAACGGGCCCGATCCGGCCCGCGGGCCGTAGTGTGTCCACGGCTGGTCTAGGGTCAGACCATGTACCTTATATATGTTCCAAATATATTATTGTTGAGGATAATGGTAATAGGTAGGTAGCTCTTACCATCCTTATCCATCTTTCTTGGCAGTTCTGATACCCGGTTTGCAATTACATTGAACAACAAGGATGCCCTCACTGGAGATGAAGAGACCTTGACTTCATATGGGATTGTTTCTGGGGACTTGATATGTTTGATTCTTGAAGATGCCATTCCAGCACCTAACTTACCTTCATCCACAGATTCAGAGCATTCCTCACTCCAGAATAATGACCAACCTTCTTTGGCCACCCCCTCCAGTCAGTCCAGCATACAGGATGAACGGCGGACTGATTCATTCCAAGGAGAGGCAGCCCAATCCGATGTCTGGAATGATGGCAGTATGGTGGGTATTACTATTCAGACAGAAAATGGGTAGTTGACAAATCATACTTGATTGAATTCTGAGCCAGTCAGGATCATTATCATCAGTAGACTGCAGATTATATTCTTATAGAAACATTTTTGAAACTGCTAAATGCCTGGATTAATATTGGGCATTCTGAAGAACCCAGTTTTTACCTATTTATTTTGTTCAGATATTCATTTACCCCCTCAGATAAATTACCCCTTGGCTTCTCTCGCTGCCTTTAACTATTTGAATGCCATAAGCATCTATAGATGCAAGTGGCGGTCCTTTTTTAATTCAAGATACCGTGTCAGTTAACCGGTTAAGCTCATGTTCCCAGCTTTGCTTCTCTGGTCTGCTCCACTTGTTAAGGCTATACATAGTCCAGTTATTTCCAAATGATTTGTTGGACATTTATACCTGGGTGTTAAAAATTGTCACCTCAAAAAATATTGTTACTTAATATTCTCTATGCCAACATAAATTTGAAAATATGTGCACTGATGTTCTTTTGTTTGTCAGTGGTACTACTGTTTTCCTGAGCTTAAAACTTTGGAGTGATTTTTGACTCCTCATACCCAATCCCTTAACAAGCCCTGTCAGTGTTTCCTTTCCATTTCAGGCTTACAGTGTCTGTTCTTCAGTGCACTTTCTAGGTTCATTTTCTTTCTACAGCTTTTTGGTTATGTTGTTCCCTTGCTCTTAACTACTGTGTGTCACAGATATACCCGTGCTCACACTTTTGAATTGAAAAAGACCACATATCTCTAGTTCAGCCCTGTCATGGTGCAGAGGAGGAGAATGTCTCTCCCCCTGTACCAGCCAACACACTCAACATGTGCACATGTACACACTACCTAAGGACTGCTTCGCACCTTTGCTCTTGCTGCTCACCCAGCCTGTAATTCACTACCTCTCCTCTCCCTCTTGTCTGTATCTCTACCCGTCCTAAGGCCCTGCCAAACATAATACTTTAATTTATCTTTATTATCTCTATTGCTTTGGAAACACCTCATTTTTTATCCTGCCTTTTGATTTCTTGTAAGTCTCAAGCGATCATTTTTATTACTTAATTTATTAATAATATATATGTCAGCTTGTTAATGGTTTTATCTATGTACTTATCTCTTCAATTTAATTTTTTTTCGTGGGCCTTTAACATTTATAATTATTCATTGTGCCTAGCGTGTCTTTCAGTATATACATATACTAAAAAATACGTTTTAAGAGGTTTGTAAATTATGAAAAGCATTTATGTTCAGATTTTTAGTAATAGTATCCAGAGAGATTAAGCAAGTTAAAAAAGGCTTTTATAAAGCTTAATGTACCTACTTTTATGTGTATTTTTTTTTTTTTTAGAAATTATTATGTAATTTTGTGTTTTTGTTTCATAGAGGTAATCTAGGGAATGAGTAAGAATATTCAGTCACATATTTAAATTACATTTCTGAATCATTTTTGCTGATAGACCCCTTCAGAGATTCTGGTGGAAGGGCCCATTCCCTTTACTTCTGTGTACTATTAAAATTGTCCAGTAAAATGGAACTTTTCATAGTATATGTAATAGTTACTTTACTAGTTTTCTTTTGGAAACTTTTGAGAAATTAATATTACCTCAAGTTAGTAATTTAAGTTCCAAAAGCAAGCTGTTTTGTGCTCTAAGACTTGTATAGGACGACTGTAAAACCTTCGTGTGGAAACAGCTTGAAATCTCATAAATAATGCATTAAGTGCTTGAAACAGTACGGTCTGCTAATTAAATGTAGGATGGAGCATTAGAAAATGAAAATAGGAAAATTTTACTCTTGCAGTTAAGTATAAATTAATTTTCTTAGATGCCGTTATATTTGGGAACTCATCTAGTACCTGTTGATTCTTTAATGGGAAACAGATAACTGGGTATCAGACCCTAATGCTAGCTATAAGCTGCATTTTAGTCACTTGTTCCAGTCATTTGTAAATGACATATGATACTAGTAAATGATCTGTTCAGAGAGGTGGTGCTGAACATTTTTTTTTCACTTCCCCATGCGTGAAGAGTAAGATAAATATTCTCATCATATCAGAATGGCTCAGTGAATGCCAGTGGTTCTCATTGAGTGGCAGTAAGGTTTGATAAGTTCACCAGGGGATTCTGATATCTTCCTCTTATGTCATTATCAGTTTAGGGCAACCTTTTCAATATTTTTTTCACATATATTCTCCCATGCAACTGTCAGTAAGTAGTTAATGGCCCAAAGTTAGGCATAATCCTGTATAATAAAGAGCTAATATGCTAATTAGACTGAATAGCAGAATGACCGTCCAGATGACCTTCCAAATGACCTTCCGGACAAAGTTGGGGCTGTGAGGGCCAGCTGGGGCTGCTAGGGGCTGCGAGGGCCAAGCCCCTTGCACGAATTCTGTGCATCAGGCCTCTAGTAGATAAGAAGCAAAGAACCTATACACTTTATAATTTAGTTAGGTGTTAAGTGGTTTTAATAAGTAATTTCTGTTTGTTCAAAATATGATAGAGCCTCCTTTTTTTATTGTCTAAAATTTTACATATGTCTCCTTTTCCCCCGTTTGACTGCCTCCCCCGGCCCCCCTACATCCAGCCATTCCCACTCTGGGCAAGCCCCCACTGCCCCAGTGTCTGTGTCCATTGGAACCTCCTTTTTTAGGTAGTGTGAGTTGTCATTGCCCTCTAGGTTTTAACAAGTGAATTTGGATGTTTTTCATAAGCCACCAGGGATTTTAGAATAACCTCATGCTCCTTGACATTCTCCCACCCTTGGACTCATAGTATGTAATTTTAATTTCCTCTGCCCCTTCTTTAATGGAAACATGAACTGAAAAAGAAGAAACATGTGCTTTGCATTAGGAGTTGAGCACAAGCCTAGAAAACCAACTTTGTGAGCAAAGTTAACATAGTAACGTAGTCTTATTGAAGCAGCATATTATGTTTAAAAGCCGTGAACTGGGAATCTGGTGAGCTTGTTCACTTCAAAGTTTTATTAGTTGGTAACCTCGATTGTTATTTAATATGAGTCACAATTACAGCATGTATAAAAAGGTGACATCATTTGTCATGCCTATTTTATAGCATTTTTGCATGTTGCAAATGAGAAAACACTGAAAACAAAACATAATGAATTGTAAGATAACCATCTTTTACTGAGTGTCTACTATGTCTTAGGTACTGTACTGGGGTTATACAAATAGTTGACATGTAGTTTGTTCATTTCTAAGTTTGTGGTCATGGTAGGATGTAGATGAGTAATTAGAAAATTTCAATACTGTGTGATGAAGTGGAGTAATACAGCCTTTGCAAAGTAGAGGGTAGTCGGTGTCGCTTCTGTTGAAGAGGTAGAGACTGCTAGAGTGGGGAGGAAGGGACTGGCAGAAAGTGAACTTGATACAGAGTCAGGGATCAGGTGACGAAAGGCCTTGTATGCTAAGGAGTTTAGGAGTTTGGACTTTATTTGTAGGCCTGCATTTCTCAGCATGTCCTCTATGAAAGACTTGTTTCATGAGATTATAAGTAAGTGAGGAAGGAGGATAGCCTTTCTTGGTTATGCACTCATTATTATTGGACTTCTCAGAGCTTTGTAATGCCACAGCATACTTGGTGAATATGGAGGGAAGGTTAGGTAGCAATAGCATGTAGCATTTTCCAACTTATTTTATTGTCAACCTCTTTCTTTCCTAAGAACATCTAGGGTCACATTTCAAGGCACAATGTAGGGAAATGCTGCTGTCTACATTGGGGAAATACTGACAGAGTTTAAGTTGGGACATAGGACATAATTGGTGTCTTAATTGTCAGAAAACTGGCAGCAGTGGGTGGAATGTATGGAAGATAAAAAAGTGGAGTCAGGTGTATTGGGGAGGCTGTTGCTGGAAGTCAGGAGATAAATGAGTGTGAAGTACTGTTGGAGTAGGAAGGGGCAGATTTTAGAGATACTTAGGAGATAGGTTCAGTGGAACTTTGAAGTATGATCAGATTGGGGTGGGATTTAGTAACGCAGACTGAGAAATCTAGGAAGATTTCCAGGTTAATGGAGATAAGGAATTTGGAATGGAGGAGTAGATTGCAGGCTCATTTATGTAGGAGGGCTTGCTTTAATGTGTCCCATTTCTGAACCCAATAATGTGCTTTGACTTTGAGCACTAATCTCAGTTCACTTTAGGATACAAAATATCATGTATAAAAGTCTATTTAATGAATTCATTGTTTGTTATCCTTTTCAGCCAGGGCCTAGTCAAAATGTTGAAGCTGAGTCAATTGAAGATATTGTGGATATGGATGAAGACACAGGTTTCTACCCCTCAGAACCAATGCTCTGCAGTGAATCAGAGGAAGGGCAAGTGCCCCATTCATTAGAGACCCTGTATCAGTCAGCTGACTGTTCTAGTCCCAGTGATGCCTTGATAGTATGCATTCATCTTCTCATGTTGGAGTCGGGTTATATACCTCAGGTAAGATGACAAGAGAAGACAAGCATCTTGTTAGGGTTTACGTTTCTATTAGGAAAGGAGGTATATCAGTAAATATCCCTAGATTTTTGTGTTGTGTATTCTAGATTTCTTTATTAAATGTGGTTGGATATTAAATGTAATATGCTGAACACAGTGATAGGCATACAGTAGGCAAGCAGTAAGTATTCTCTTCCTTTTTTTCGTTTTATCAGTTTTTTATTAATATTATAAAAGTGATGGCAACTTGGGTTAAAAGAACCACAAGATTACAGTATGTAGGATAATATGTAGGTAAAATGTGTTCAGTGAGTGTGGATTGGGTGTGACTAGACAGATGATGACACACTAGGTTTTATATATTAATGGCTCTATGAATTGCCAGTAATTTAATAAGATTCAGTTAGGAAGAGGACATTGTTCTTATGCTGTAGTTGCTTGCATTCATTCATTCATTCTCCATCGTCAGGTGCAGTGCTTTGTCTCTGCTCCCAGGTTGCTTATAGTCCAAGAGTGAGAGAGACAAGTATACAAAGCATTGTACTGTATTGGTTAAATTCTAGGAGAGACTTAGCCATAGATAGGATGCCAGAGATTCACAGAGAACATTTAGAGTAGAGTTTCTTAAACTTTTTTTTTTGGTGTGGTGGTGGGGTGGGGGTGGTGGTGGTGGTGGTGGTGGTGGGAGAGTTTCTTAAACTTTAATGTGCACAGAATACCTGAGGATCTTATTAAAATGCAGATTCTAATTTAATAAGTCTAAGGTGGAGCCTGAGATTCTACATAGTCTCACACAATAGCGATGCCACAACTGGTGGTATTATGAGTAACAGTAATTCAGTGATCACTGAACACCTGCACCATGCCATGCACTGAGCCAGGAATCAAGATATAAAGACAGTCCTTTTCAGAAGTCCACAAGTATGGGAGATAAATAAAATGAAAATTATAATATATTATGATAAATAACATTAGAGAAGTACATAACAATGGAAATATGAACTGAACGTTAGTGGATAAAAGAAAGAGGATGACAAACATGATTTTTTTCTTGTTATCCTCACCCAAGGATATGTTTTTATTGATTTTAGAGAGGAAGGGAGAGAGAGAGAAAAAAAACATTGATGTGAGAGAGAACTATCAATTGGTTGCCTCCCATATTTGCCCCGACCAGCATCCTAGTTATGTGCTGCGACTGGGAATCAGACTCACAACCTTTTGGTGTTTGGGACGAAGCTCCCACCAAGTGAGCCATGGCCAGGGCAGGATTTAAAAAAAAATTTATTGGTGTGACATTGGTTAATAGGTTTCAAGTGTACATTACTGTATATTGCATTGTGTGCCCACCACCCAAAGTCAGTCATCTTCCATCACCATATATTTGGCCTCCTTTACTCTCTACCACTCCTCCACCTCCTTCCGTCTGGTAGACACCATACTGTTATCTGTCTGTGTCTCTGAGTTTCAGTTTTATATCCCACATATGAGTGAAATCATGTAACTCTTAGTTTTTTCTGACTGACTTCGCTTAGCATGTATTTATATATATTTTCTTTTAAAAGGGATTTCCAAATAAAGTGATATTTAAGTTGGGTTCTTGAATAATGACCTTGGTAAGCAGAGAAGTGAGTCTTTGAAGAGAGAAATTAACTCCATCTCTGATATTATTTTATCTATTTGAACAAAATTTTTTTTTTTTTAATATTTTATTGATTTTTTACAGAGAGGAAGGGAGAGAGATAGAGAGTTAGAAACATCGATCAGCCGCCTCCTGCACATCTCCTACTGGGGGTGTGCCCGCAACCCAGGTACATGCCCTTGTCCGGAATCGAACCTGGGACCTTTCAGTCCGCAGGCCGACGCTCTATCCACTGAGCCAAACCGGTTTTGGCTTGAACAAAAATTTTGATGGAGGATAATATATGGAAACTTTTTTTCTATCAAAATTTTATTCATAGCAATGTTAATGATTTGACAAATTTTATTAAGGGGATTGTAAGGAATGCTTATTTCTAGACAAGTTAGGGACTTCCTGGATGGTTAATCTTTTTGAGAGTAATATATTTCTATATTTGTTTCCCTTTAATTTCCTTCCCCAGGGGACTGAAACCAAAGCTATTTCCATGCCAGAGAACTGGAAATCAGGAGGAGTGTATAAGCTGCAGTACACACATCCTCTCTGTGAGGGCGGCTTTGCTGCTCTCACCTGTGTGCCTTTGGGAAACCTAGTCGTCATAAATGGTAATTGGATGGCATAGTTGCAGTCATTAGTTTACGAATACTGACATCTTTCTCTCCAAATGTTTTATAGCCAGTTCATTAATTGCCCATTATGATATAGTCTTTTTTCAACTTTGTTTAATCCCTGTACCGCTGATAACATGAGTCTGAAAGGTTATAGAATTATGGGTTGGCCCTACCAGTGTGGCTCTGTGGTTGAGCATCAACCTATGAACGAGGAGGTCAGGGTTTAGTCTCCAGTGTGGGGCGTGTAAGAGACAGCCAATCAATGATTCTCTCATTATTGATATTTCTATCTCTCCCTCTCCATTCCGCTCTGAAATCAATAAGAATATATTTATATGAAAAAAGAGAATTACGGGTTGATGTTTTAGGCTAGCAGCCTTCATTCTTTGAGCAGCTCTACTCTTTTGCTGTTTTAACCTTATAATTTATTTTTTGCTCCCGTGGGAGTTGTTATAATAGGAGTGAGATGAACTCTTTGAAGAATATACGTTTCTTTGTGATTATAAATGGCTTTTTTTTTTTAAATCAAGGTCTCAAACTGAGAGATGGTAAGAGGTGAGATTGAGCTGGGTCCCTTTGTATTCAGTTTGGCACCACTGAACAATATATAAATACCCACAAACACTAAGGGTTCTGAGGCTTTAATCTGTGTGTGTTTTCTCCCACACCCTGGGAAAGTCGCTCTTAATGGTTTCTTTCCTAGTTGTCTTCAGTATTAAGAAAATTTCACTGGGATAGCAATACATCCCAATTTCATTTTAGCTCAGATGCCACCTGCATGTCCATACCAACTATCAGTGGTGTTTGGAACAGTTTCATAATAAACATTCTGGAGATCCATTTGAGTGACTAGAATCTTGCATTTTTGTTGCATTTTGATTTTTTTAAATTAAAAATATATTTTATTGATTTTTTGTAGACAGGAAGGGAGAGGGATAGAGAGTTAGAAACATTGATGAGAGAAAAACATCGATCAGCTGCCTCCTGTACACCCCCTACTGGGGATGTGCCTGCAACCAAGATACATGCCCTTGACTGGAATTGAACCTGGGACCCTTGAGTCCGCAGGTCGACACTCTATCCACTGAGCCAAACCGGTTAGGGCTGCATTTTGATTTTTGAGGTTTATCCTCTTAAGGATAATATTGGAATGACTGCATTTTTCCTTTTTCAGCAAAGCTCATCTTTGTATAACAAAGGCAGCAGGTGCTTTGATGTGTCTTAGCTCAGTGGTTTCAACATGTTCTGCAGCTCCTAGTTTCTGCTGAGACGAAGCAGGGAGGAGGCTTAGTAGAACTATCTCCACTTAAATCTTGAGCAGCAACATGTTTGTCTATTTCACTTATTGGGGTCCCTACAAGATTTTATAATGTGTTTTTTTTTTTCTGCTGAAAGACAGTTCTAGGTGCCCTTTTGTGTAATTTCTGCTATTTCCTTTTTATGACTCGATTCTTTGACATGTTACTTAAAAGTCTCAAAATTTCAGCTTTAATAGCTTTGGTGGTATTCCACATTTGTCTGGACGCAACTATCTGATGGCACGAGGACCTAGTAATGCCTTTTCAGCAATTCATGACAATTACAAATGTAACTTTTAGTTGGGTGTTCCACCCAGATCAGCAGTTGCTGCCTCCATTTAAGCATAACTTGCAAGGTGGAAGTTACCAAATGGTAAATGTGAGGTTGTAATTTTTGCCTCAGTTTCTTACTAAAACTCTTTAACAACATCTGTATAATAACCTCTATTTACTAGAGTTTCAAGATACTTAAAAGAGAATAGCTGTTAAATGTCTAATGATTTCCGATACTTCGTTTATTTACCATTCTTGGCAAGTCACCTGCTTGCAGACTTGCATGGCAGACAGCCATTCCAGGCTTGATTCTTTGAAAGGAGTAGTGTGTCCTTAAATCTCTCCTTCACCGAAGACATCCTGTTCGGTGCACATGTGCATAAGCACATCACTGGCTCTTTCATAGAATGAGATGAAGTATGCCTTTGTGTATGTGAATGAAATTGAACTCTCTGGTGATGTCAAGAATATTGGTCTTTTGGGTCTAGAGAGAGGATTCATTTAACAAACAAGGGAAGACTCATTGCCAAGGGTTAAATAAAAAATAAATGGAGTTTTGGTGATACTGGTGGAAATAATGATTTTATTGTGTTTAACTGTCTTCTATTAACCTTGTTGCATATCTTCCAGTTACTAATGAGCTGCTATTGGTAATACTTTTTATATAGGTATTATATAAAGGTGTTTACTGTAGTTTTTAAGGGGTGTTTTAGAGTGATTTTTAATTCATGCGATGGCATGTTTATACTTCGGACTTCGCTGTGAGGGAAGGATGTAAGCATAGAGCAGTTTGTTTTGTATAATGTGTCCTTTGTATATTGGGGGCAAGGAAATACAGTCCCATACTGGAAAATGAAGGCAATTGATGAAGTGACGAATTTTCATCTTTCTTTTGCTTATTTACAGCTACACTAAAAATCAACAGTGAGATTAGAAGTGTGAAAAGATTGCAGCTGCTGCCAGAATCTTTTATTTGCAAAGAGGAACTAGGTAATGTAACCGTGATTTAACTTTTGGGATGACATTTTGAGAGCTTCACTTTTAAAAACCTGAAAGGTAATGTTCAAAAGACTGAGTTTCTGAATGAGATTAAAGCAAATTCAAGACCATGATGCAGAGTTTCTGTTTCCTGTTATTCTTAGGATCTTGGAATGCTGGATTATGTTTACATTGCCATTATGTAATGACACTAGTATGTAATTTTTTGCACATTATTGATGCTTCATAATTTCTGGATTTTTCTGGCATTGTGGTTAGCCAGTATGGAGAGGAGCTATGTTTTGTGGGAACCATACTAGTATAATGGAACCTCATTATTGAAGATATTTGCTTAAACCTATATAAATTTGATGTAGATTGGACCTTTACCAGAAGTTTGCATTCTATGCATGGTTTCATTTATGTTCTATAAAATTATTAGTAGACGCAAAGAAATTAAGTTTTTATTTTTTTAACTTAAGTCAAAGGATGAGATGTGGGTAGGTGGTTGAAGGAGAAGAGATGGGGTAGAGAGGGAAGTATCATATTTAAGTACTGTTTTGTGCCTTTACAGATGTTATTCCATTTCATCCTCATAGTAAACTTGAGGGTTTAAAATCCAGATGGAGAGTGGTGTGGTATAGGGGAGAGATGACATTTAAAGCAGTGTCTTTTAAGGGAAGACCATGTAGATCTAGATCTTTGCTGTGAAGGCCTAACTTAGTCTTGTTAGTTCCCAGGGGAGATCAAGCCTTGAGAGACTGACGTATATGAACTGAAACTGATAGAGAAAGCAGACATCAGAATACAGTTGACCATTGGAAAACTGGAGTTAGGGTGCTGATCCCCCATGTAGTCAAAAATACACATATAACTTTTGACTCCCCTGAAACTTAACTACAGTTGACCTTTGGTATCCAAGGGGGATTGGTTCCAACATTCCCTGCAGATACCAAAAACCCACGGATGCTCAAGTCCCTTTTATAAAATGATATAGACCAATGCATACAATTGGCCCTCTGCATCCAGATTCCCAACTGCGGATGGAAAACACTATTTTCTATCTGCTGTTGGTTGAATCTGAGGATGCAAAACCAGGGATATGGAGGGCTGATTGTGGTTTATTAAAAAAAATCTGTATATCAGTGGACCCGTGCAGTTAAAACCTGTGTTGCCCAAGGGTCAACTGTACATATTTATAATGGTCTCTGAACATATAATGTCATAGTAGACCAGTGTTTCCTAACCTTTTTTCCCTTATCAATCCCCGAAAGAGCCATTTACACATTTTCCCCCTAGTCATTCTCCCCCATGAAAATTTAATACGATAGATATCTGTATTTGTATACTGTGACCCTTAGGAGGGGCAAAACCAATGTCATAACTAGGATTTTATTTTTTTGCCCTCCCAAGAACCAATTTTTGCCCTGTTGGGGGCAATATTGCTCCTGTTGCGAATGCATGAACTGACTCATTAAATCTTTAAAGATGATCTTACCATTAGGGCCAGAAATTCCTTGGCTACAATACTGTATATTCACTTCTGTGCTATGGGGAGTAGAAATACTCTACACTTTATAGCAGTAGAGGTTATTATGCCCATTTTATAGATCAGGAAATAGGTCTAGAGGAGGTTAAATTACTTCAAGGTCACAGAGCTAATAAATGGTGGAATTTAGGATCGGAATAGATTTGACTCCTATGCCTTTTTTTAAAAACAACTTTTATAGAAATGTAGCTCAGTTCATTTTCTTTATTTGCTTTCTGTTAAAAAGGAAATGAAAGGAAAGGAAAAAAGGAAATGAAAGGGAGGGAAAAAGTTAATACAGTTTTATTACAAGTTTATGGACTATATTAATCGAATATTTTTAATGTAGCACTTTTTATGTTAGGAATATGCTGTTCATTTGACAAGTCATTTAAATAAATGTTTACTGTGGCTTATAGTGTCCATATATACTAGGTACTGTTATTTATCCTTTTGTTCTAAGTCCCTAATTATATTTATTATAGATCACTGAAGGAAATTTTCTTTTTATAGAAAATCAGTTTTCACATTAAACCAAATTTATTTTTTAAATATCTTGAAATTTGCCCTAACCAGTTTAGCTCAGTGGATAGAGCATTGGCCTGTGGACTGAAAGGTATCAGGTTCGATTCCGATCAAGGGCATGTACCTTGGTTGCGGGCACATCCCCATAGGAGGTGTGCAGGAGGCAGCTGATCGGTGTTTCTAACTCTCTCTCTTCCTCTCTGTAAAAAATCAATAAAATATATTTTAAAAAATCTTGAAATTTGATTTAAACTCAAGATTGTAATTCATGCAATAAAGATGTAGAGTTTAGCTGCATATTTTTTTTATTCATTATCAAGTTATGCATGTTTTATTATAGACTAGAGGCCCAGTGCATGAAATTTGTGCACTGGTAGGGTCCTTAGCGGCTGCCGGCCAGGGCCTCCCTCCCTTCCCCCAGCTGGTCCTGCCCCCTAGTTCCCTGGTGAACTCCTGGAGGAACTCCCGGTTGAGGGGACAATTTGCATACTATGCTTTTATTATATAGAATAGTGAGTTGCATACATATGGACTGGGGAGGGAGCAAGCATAAATTGATTATCTGATAAATACTAGGCACTGTGTATGTAGCTTTAAATTTTAACTACACTTATCTGGTGCAGTGGTGATGTCTTCTTTAAACAGGTGAGCAAACAGGTACAGATCAGAAGGTTCAAGGTTATACACTTGGTAAATTTATAGCAAAACTGAAGTGGGAACTCTAGGCACAGTTTGACAGTGTACATGCTGTAATGTGCATGAAAATCACCTGGGGATTTTATTAAAATGCAGGTTCTGATTAAGTAGGTCTGTGGTGGGTCCTGAGATTCAATATGTAGAAACATTTCCCAGGTGATGTCAATACAGGTGATCCATGGACCACACTTTGGTAGCAGTTTAGTGGCTAATGTGAGTGCTTTGGAGCCCTACTTAGCCTTATACCCTGCTCTGCCACTTACTCTAAGACCTTGGATGGCTCTATATCTTGTCCTGTCTTTAAAGTGGGAATAATAGTATTTATCTCTGAGGGAGAATTGCTGATTCTAAAGAAGGCTTGAAAACTGTGTTATAAACACTGTTTGTTACTAAATCTAAGCTCCACAAGAGTAGTGCCCACTGCATTCCCAGTGCTCAGAGCAGATTGGTAGATATCTATAATAATAAAAGGGTAATATGCTAATTAGATCGGAAGTCATTCCAGACATCCTTCCTGATGAAGCCGGGGTGGAGGGAAGCCGTCCCGGTCCTAGGTGCCTGCAGGTGGCCTGAAGGAAGCCAGCCCAGGTCCCAGGTGCCTACTGGCAGCCAGAGGAGGGAAGCCCGGGTCCCAGGTGCCAGAGGGAAGCTGGTGTTGGCAGCCAGGGGAAGGAAGGTCTACTCTTGCATGAATTTTCATGCATCAGGCCTCTAGTCTATAATAATAAAAGCATAATATGCTAATTAGACCAGACATTCTTCAGGACATCCTTCCGGACAAAAGCTGGGGCCGTGAGGGAAGCCTGGGTCCTGGGTGCCAGAGGGAAGCTGGTGCCGGCAGCGGGGGAAGGAAGGCCTACTCTTGGCACGAATTTCATGCATGGGCCTCTAGTTCAGTATATCTAGTGTTCCCTGCCAAATGATAGCCTATGAGCTGTATAGATTGGTACAGCTCACTTCATTTGATATGGGATTTTAGCTTTCAGAGTCTCATGCTATATACTCCCTAGTCTATTGGAGATTTTGATTTATATCTGTGTTGGAATTATTTGTGAAAATTTATTTACCTCTTTGATTGGTTTGGCTGAAGTAGAGGATACCATTTCAAGTTTTTCCACTTGATTTTCTATTTGATTTTTTATTTTAAATATTCTAGGGGAAAATGTAGCCAACATCTACAAAGATCTTCAGAAACTCTCTCGCCTCTTCAAAGACCAGCTGGTGTATCCTCTTCTGGCTTTTACTCGACAAGGTGAGAGATGATAAATGATCCCAGGTCAAATGGCTAGAAAGAATAGTAAATTTAAAGTACTGTGCTCATGACTCTCCCCTCTTTTCTCCTCCTAGTGAAATTCTGCTCTGATTTTAAGACTAAGCTTAAATGTTAATTCCTTAAATGTTATTCACTCCCTCTTGGTAGTTCCATAGCATTGTGTACATATCTTTATTGTAGCTCTTTATTCAGTGTATAATAATTGTTGATATAATTTCTTTCCACCTAAGGTTGTGAATACTTGAAAGCAGGGAATATGTCTTATTCACTTTTGTATTCTCATGGCCTAGCACAGGGTCTGGCCCATAATAAGTTCAATAACACATAAATAAATAATGTGTAGCCTGTAAATTGCATCTAAGGTTTTTTTTTTTTTTTAAATAATATTTATTGGGGCTCTATGCTAGGTACTTTGGATATTTCACATGTGTTCTTACTTAATGCTAACAACTTTGAAGTAGCTTTTATTCTCATTTTATAGATGGTGAAACTGAATAATTCAGTGAGGTTTATATTCACTCAAGATTCTTGTATAGTCAGCTTTCTCTTATTTGTGTTGTAGTAAAAAATACTTAAAAATCGCAGTGACTTGCCCTGGCCAGTGTGGCTCAGTTGGTTGGAGCATTGTCCTGTACACCAAAAGGTTCATAGGTTGACGCTCAACCACTGAACCATACCGTCAGGGCTCTACCTCCTAATAGTAATTGCTAACACCTGAGTGCTTATTGTGTGCCAAACATTGTTCTAAGCACTATATGTATTAATAAATTTAATTCCCAACTTAGTGAGGTAGATAATGTTATTAACCCATTTTACAGATGAGGAAATTGAGTTAGGCAGAGTTTAAGTAACTTGTCCAAAAGCACACAGCTAATAAGTGGCAGCATTGGGAGCCAGTTATAAAAGCCAGTGAATTATCCATTTTCTGTAGTTGAGAAGAGAATTAAAAGAAGCCATTGACTAATATCTACAAATTGTCAGAATTATTTTTTCTATCTGTATTAAACAGTATTTGTCTTTCCACTAACACAGGGGAACAAGGAAGGGGCTTAGTAGTAGTAATCTAGTTAACCTGGGGTTAAACATTTGTTGTAGATGTGTGTGCTTGGATAATTGAGACCACCTCCCAGTTTGTTACCTCTCTATAAAGGAACGAGTTGCCCGCTTTTGTTGAATGTGTGGGGAAAGCTGGATGTTCTTTACTCAGAGACACTTGTTCTTTTTCTCCTTTTAGCACTGAACCTCCCAGATGTATTTGGGTTGGTAGTCCTTCCATTGGAGCTGAAACTACGGATCTTCCGACTTCTGGACGTTCGTTCTGTCCTGTCTTTGTCTGCAGTTTGTCGTGACCTCTTTATCGCGTCAAATGACCAACTTCTGTGGAGGTGTTTATATCTGCGGGACTTTCGAGGTGATTTCCATGATGACATGTTAACAAGAAAGGGGCTCTTTCTTACTGAGGTCTTAGTTCTTAATGATTCAGCTTGCCAGAAGTTTTTAGTTATAGGTTTTCTTTTTTAGGGTAGCAAATAATCATAACATACAGCCTATAGTAAAGAGATTCTAAGCTTCATAAACCTTTGCCTATGTCCTGAAAACTCTCCTCAAATAGCCACTTAGACTAAGTAGACCGTCAGGATAGAAAAATGGACGTGAGATAGGTTTATTCTCTATCGGCCATCCTCAGTGTCTGACTTAGAAATCCACTGCATTTCTAACTACTTCCAGGTTGTGACCAGAGTACTAGTGGACAGAGTCTTGCTCTGCTGTGGCAGGCGTGTTGCTGGGGAAGCTGTATTTCTGCATTGTCACATTTAAGGTGACCTGGTCATCATTGCAGCAGTGATGACAGTGGAACTTGGGGCTGGGGAGAATTCTCCAAAATGTCACAGGGTTTCCAGATACAAGGCTGGAAGCCTGAGTGTGGAACTTCTTTTTGGTCACCACCATTTTACTACCTATCAGTGTTAGACTGTGGTTTGACTCTGGGTGGGTCACAAAATCAATTTAAGGGGTCATTTTACAAAAAAAAGGAAAGTCAGCAGCACTTTATAAAATAGGAGTAAACTTATATTTTAGCTATATAGATACATAAATGTAAAAAAATCTTACATGTTACAGTGTAAAATAAAAAAGTTTGAATGATGGTGCTATATATGATAATGTACCACTCTAGTAAACATGTATGGGTAGGTTCCCTTCCTCTTTTTTTTTTTTTTAAATTAAAAGTACATGTAGAGTCATTTGGATTGTCAAAATTTTTTTCTTTTAAAGCTTCAAAATGTAGAAAGTGCAAATGACCTGGTTTTTCCTTGTCTTCCTTCTTGATTCCTGAGGTCCTCATTCTTTGTTTCTGCTCCTGAATCCAAAGTTTAAAATGTTATTTTGTCCCTGGAGGCAGGAAATGTCATCTCAGAAATTTAAAAAATTATAGTCAAAATGAAAAGACAAAATGACCAACATATATGGAAGATCCAACCCTAAAAAAGCAGGCTATGATAAAAATACCCATGAAAGGAACAAATACTTTTTACTTGTATATTTGAGTTCAGGTTTAAAATACAATCAGTCTCTACCTCATTTCCAGATTGTGGTCCACAAGCTCATTTGTAAGCTGAGTGTTCATATTTTTTTCTTGAATTTCCCTGTACATACAATGTTATGGGGCTGGAGCTTTTATAACTTTTTCTTCCATGCCAATATAATAACATCTAGAGAAGACATCACTATCTTTTATCCAAACTCGTCACTAAAAGGAGTTCTTTTCCTCATTTCACAGATTTTAAGTAAGTACATTGAAAATTACTTAGTTATGATCAAATTTCTGAGAGTCGAATCATTCAGAACATGTTTGGGAGAAAATCTAACCCAATTATGGAAGAAAACCTTACCAGCTTGACCTCCAGTAATGACCATGAGCGGTAATACAGACACTCAGAGGTTGTCACCTGGGTTAGTGTGACATGAGACTTGGGGTCAGAAGCAGCTGACACACTAGATGGAGTTAGTGGGAGACGGTGTAGTGTGGGTCAGTTAGCACAGGAGAGAACAGCCGTGCAGCCCTCTGCATCCCTGAGGGAGTCACTGCATTCAGCCACGTAGTACAGAGCAGTGCCGGCTGCCCTCAGCCGTCCAGAGAGGATCTGAGTTAGGTTCAAGAAAGTATAAATGGTAGTGTGTGTTAAACCAAGGATGGATTCCTGTTTCTGCTTAATGAGGATGCTTTCGTTTCCTTAGGACAGAGGCAAACTTGCTGTTTCATGCTGGATGAATGAAGCATTTTAAACCCTTATTTTTTGCTTTTCCTTTGTAGATGGTACTGTTAGAGTTCGAGACACAGATTGGAAAGAAGTAAGTGTTTGCAAATATCAAGGCTAATGTTCACAACACAGAAATAACTAGTGGATTAGTACATTATGGGCAGTTTTCACTTTTTTATGATGTAATCTGTTTTCACTAAATTTATTGCTCATTTTCAGTAAATGGAAATGTTTTCAACTTTTACTTTAAACTCAGTCCGTTTTCTTGTAATTACACAGGAAGTAAGTTTTAACACAATGATTATTTTTCACCTTAATAAAACATTCTCCCTTCTTCTGTTTCAAAGAAGATTTTTTTAAAGTGAGTTGCTTTGTGCTGGAATAGTGTTTAGCTGTTCTGCTAGTTAGAATAGTACATTAAGAAAAGAAAAAGTGATGTTATTTTATTTGCTGATGCCTACTATAAAAGACGTTGATAGGACTGAGAAAAACTTGGGAGGAAGGACTAGAGAAGAATAAAATTCAATGAAAGTATTCAAATATGTACAAAATATGTTCCATCCTCTAAAATGGGCATCTGTTTCATCTTGTTTAAATTGAGATCTATTAGGGACACAATTTAAGTGAAAAATAATAACCTCACCCCCCAACACCTTTATATTTTATGGCTTGATATTTTCAACAAATATTTAACTTTGCTACTTTTCAAAAAGGCTGACTTACGATTGCACGTTAGCTTGGGCACTCTGGGTTGCAGTCTTGAAAGTACATGCCACTCAGTTATCCCTCCTTTGGCTGTATTGTTGCTCCAGGTTGGCACAATTGCTCGGTTGCAGTGTAAAGACTAGAGCTCATCGGTATTGTATTCAGAGCCACTACCTTATTCGCTTACAAAGAAATGGTGAAAGTTCGTTTCTGTGCACTGGTTTTTGGTCTGCTTGATAGTGTGGGAAAAGGAAAGGACAGATCTGTACAGTGAAAGCAGGTTGGAACTCTGGGGAGACATCCCAACCACTTACCAGATCCTGTTCTTGTTTTTCTTCAGTTGTACAAGAAGAAGCACAAACAAAGAAAAGAAGCTCAGAGAATTCGGCATATGATGTTCCTGCCGCCGTCGTCACCCCACCCCAACCCATTCTACCCCAATCCCTTCCACCCCAGGCCTTTCCCTCCCAGCTCGCTCCTTCCTCCAGGAATTATTGGTGGTGAATTTGATGAAAGACTAACACTTCCCTATGTTGGGAACCCAATCAATTCACTCATCCCTGGGCCGGGGGCGGCACCCGGCCAGTTCCCTCCACTCAGACCACGTTTTGATCCAATTGGCCCACTTCCAGGACCTAACCCCATCCTGCCAGGGCGCGGTGGCCCCAATGACAGATTTCCCTTCAGACCCAACAGGGGTCGGCCAACTGATAGCCGGCTACCATTCATGTGATTGACTCGCAACCCCACTCTGGAGCTTGTTTGGTTTTGTTTCTTAAAACTACAGCTGTCATCTTGTTGGGTTGTTGACCTCTAGTGTTTTCTGATTGTGGTGGTGAGGAATGTACTCACACAAGCCTTTCAGTAGATGTATTTAAAGCTCCAGGGGTGGTGAGGCCCAAAGGTTACTTCATGACAAGGTTGGCCTTGGGAATAGTTGGCTGCTGACTTCCCTCTAGAATGAAGGTTGTTCACCGATAATGTTCTGTACCAGATTTTTAAAAATTAAGTATAAATTACATGGCAGTCTCGACTTTTATTACAGAAAGATATGTGATAAATATTCAGAACAGCTTTACAACATTACTTGGACATTTAAAAATGATCAGAGAACCTATTCAGCGTCATCAAATTGTTGCAGGGGATTTTAAACATTTTAATGGCCCCTTTTTTCAAATGAAATCATTTGCAGAAGCTGATTTATAAAATGACAAAAGCAGAGCTAGTTTGGTTGAACTGAACTTTGGACACCCACCAGCTCAGTCCACCTCCTTCCTGGCCCTGCAGCTCTTCCTCAGAGTGTGGGGTGAACTTCTGGGCTCTGCAGCAGCACTGCTGGCGGCCACTGGGTTATAGGGACTCGGAGTGTGGGGTGAACTTCTGGGCCCTGCAGCAGCACTGCTGGCGGCCATTGGGTTATAGGGACTCTTGTTTTGTTTGGGGCTTCTTCTGGAGTGGAATTATGATTTTTTTCCCTTGTGTTTTGACACTTGGTGCCTAATTTGTAATCTAACTAGATGACCTCTTTTAACAACAAAGTGTTACTGCTTTGAATGCTGGTCAGGTACTTGTTTTTCAAAGATAGACTCTTATTTGAAGAACATTTATTTTTTTTTAAGAGTTAAAATACACAAAATTCAAGGTTTATTTTTCCTACAAGAAAAAGGTCAAACAGAAATGTTTTATACAAACAACTGTGAAACATGCTATAGTGACAAAATCTGAATCACAACACAGGAACTAAACATTATTAGTATCTGCAGAAAGTATATTGGAATATTGCCACTGTCGTCCTGATTTTAAAAATCTGTTTTGCATATAAGGAAATGGTTTGAAATGTTATGTGCTGCAAGAATATTTTGAGTCCTACATACATGTGAAAATATTTTTATTTTTATGTTTTGCTACACATAATAGTGTTGTTTTTTCATCACAGTGAAGAAAATTCAGTCACTAATGCAATTATCCAGAGCCATGTCACCGTTAATAGCTTAATGTGTAGGCAAAGGATTGGGGCTGTTGACATTTCCATGGTACTGGGCAATGGTAGCTCTAGGACAGCTTTTTAAAAATAAGTGTCCACTGGACGCCATATGGCTTTAATTGGATCTGGGCTGAAAGAGTCACCTTGAAGCATTGATGGGTCCAAATATACCCTAGTTCTCCTCTCTGCCCTTGTGATGTTAGGTTGCACGTGGTGTGTATGTGTGTAGCTGGCGTGGGAGGACACAGTGAAGCACCAGATACTATAAAACAATGAGTTTTTCAAATCCAGAGTTTTTGAATGTTCCTTGAGAGGTCTGTGCCGGTGCTGATGTCCCAGAGAGGTGGCGCTCCTTTCTAGCCTCACCTCGGCCTCACTGGCCCGAGTTACAGCCTCTCTCAGTTTAGGTATGGGCAATGTGCCATATGCCTAAATTTGCAGTCCTCTCACAATAGTTTATTCTTAAAACAACTCCCAAAGCTTTTCCTCTTGAATAGCTAAATTTATAGTTAGAAGCTTGTAAAATCTATGTTCTTTTCATTAGCCTGGGCTGTTGAGCTTTATATATTGCTGGTGTGTAATGAGAAGGAAATCATGGTTTGGCGGTAGCCCAGTCCCTGATTTTCTGACATCACTTTGATATATTGTAATGGAAACAAGACAGTTGAGAGCACTGCGGTTACACATTTTAGTACGATGCTGTTCTATATCATTGGCTTGTAGTCTCAACGACTTTCTGTGACTCCCCTTTAGTTATTTTTAACAGGAGCTTGCTCCCCTCCCACCCCCTTCTTTGTTCCAGATGAAAGATAAGGTTTGGCATGACTGGAAATCAATCATGGAATGTATCCTCTCTTTCCAGCTTAAGATTTTATAATTCCTTAAGGAAGACAGTTCTGCCCTCTTACTCTTGCCTCTAATTCCTGAGATCACCGCTTAGTCTAATATCTATCTCTAATTCTTATTCTGACGGAGCTGGACACGTTTCCCTTTGCCCTCTATACACAGGGCCCAGTGTCAAGGTTTGCCTTCCTCCTGCCCGGGGCAGTAGCTCCTCGAGGAGGCGCCGGCAGGTCCCACTTCTCTGCTGGGCATGTAAGCATGGTTCATGCTCCTTCACAGTCTCCAGCTGACTAGATGTGGAGTGGATACGATTATTGGGAAGTACTAGGTAAGTCACCTGAAATAAAGATTTAATCTCAGTGTCTCCTGGGATCCCCCAATAGGTCCTGGCACTTAAATTTCTGCTATTCCATAGCGAAATATTGAGAGGCAAGACAATGTTAACTTTCTTCTCTAGACTCGGTGAAAGACCATGAAGAGTAGATACATTAAATATGAGAGTTTGGAAATTGAAATTAAAAATGGGAGGACCGATCAGAATAAAATTGAAGGGTATTTAAAATTTTAAAGGAAAACATTGTAGGAGTGGTGTTAGTTGTAGATTGGTTTTCCCTTAAGGAATGCCTCACTGTTTCTAGCCATGTCCCTTTCTTGGCCTGCTGCTTGAGAGCCCTGGGCACAGGACTAGTGTCGAGATGTCATCAGTTTGGCTGCGTGTTTGCCTGGAAACAGGGAGCTTCTGTGCCCTGTGTGCGTTGTGTTGGATTAATGAACTGATTTGATTGCTTTTTGTCTAACCTTCCATTTTGTCACTGACCAAACCCACAAGTGCCGCCTTCTCTGAGAACCTAAATATTGGTGAAACCCTGAATTTAATCAGTGGCTGCTTAGGAGTCAAAGATAGCTTTGACACTTGCTAGCTTAGTAACCAGCCAGCCTGCACTCCAGGATAAAACATTTGGAACATGTGGAAGTGCTCCTAGGCCATGGCCTATTCCTCCAATAGAAATCCTGGCGTTACCTGTAATGCTGAGCTAACTCTAAAACAGAACAAGCTACCACCTGCTTTGGGAGCTCCGCTGCTCCAGTGCAGGGAGGGGCAGTGGGTTCTGCTATGGAAAGCTCTGCCCTGCTGTGGGCCTCTGTGCAGGGTGTGGTCAGGATGGGAGTCCAGGTCCTGGGTCTTCTCTGTGCAAACTCTGGTGTTGTCCTGGTCTGCTCGCCCCAGCCTCTTCTGACTGATGCTGACAATGGCACCTCATCTCCCCCACCCCCACTCCCAGGAACTCACCTCTTTGGGCTGTGCTCACCAGGGGGTGGTCTTGTGGCCCCTGAGCCTGCTTGCTCCCATTCCTTTTCAGACTCAGTTTAGAGTCTGCAACCTCTTCCTGAGGGTAAAAAACTGCTATAGATTTTCTTTAGCTTATCTCAGTTTACTAATCTCTCTGCTGGTTTGATTCTGTTCCTGGGCAAATGACTTCCTCACATTGATACACTTAAAAATAAAACAAAGTTTTTCTTCAGTCTTAACATAGGTTTACATTTTATTAATTCCAACCTGACCATGTCCTGACCACCTACTGTGTATCAAGCAGTGCTCTGTGTTTTATTCACCTAGTCGTTCACGATGAGGTACCTACACTAACTTGCTTTCCCCTTGTAAACCTTTTCTAGCAAATTCAAGTGAGAACTGCCAGCAGGTGGTTGATGTTTGGGCTCTTGGGGTTTGCTATTGTATTTGTTACCGTGTGTGAAGGCTCGTCACCCCTGAAATGTTGGAGAGGTAGAACTAAGTGCCCCTGAGCAGGAACTGAAGGTTGGCAGCGAATGTCGTATGACAGAGAACACAGGGAATTAATGGAGGAGAAATGATGTATAGTCTATGTCCCTGAAAGGCTGACTTGACATTTAATCAAACAGGACTGTTTTCACACACTGCGAGGACAATCTGGAAGAAGGTATTTTGTCTGGCTGGTGGAGCGGTCTGTTGAGGCTGTGTTTAAATCCCTGCTCCTTGTGCTGCACTTCACCACAATACACATGCATCTGGCATGTTTTAGCCTCACCAAGTCAGCTTGGAGGGGGAATGCAAGCCTTTCTTTGAATCAAAACGGTGAAACAAAGCCAACCAACCAACCAACCAACAACTTTTTAGAATTGCCACAGTGACTACCTTCACCCCTGCTTTTTGTCCTTTCCCATTTAAAAAAAACGTCAGTTATTAAAGTTAAAAGTGAGAAAACAGTCCATTTGGGGGGGTCTCTGGTCTCCACAAGACCATTGTTGGTCTCAACTTTCATACACAGGCCAGCAGGAACCTTAGGTGTTGGTTACAAACTAGTGCTATGTCATGGAGCATCTGTGCATGGCTATACAAAGGAGTTTGTGCTACTCTACTTGGACTATCTGGAAGATATAGTTTGAATGTTGAGATGTTTTTATGGACAAGGGACAGAATAAAGGAAAATGGGAAAATTAAGCCACAGTCATTGTTTATGGAGCCACTAATTTTGCTCACCGAGAGTGGGACCTGGGTCTGTTATGAATCCACACAATCCTGCTTCAATAGCAGCTTTCCCAGACATCTCAGCTCAGGGGGCCAGTCTAACTCCCACATGCATGCAGGGAGATGACAAAGAGAGGTTTGGGTCTCGACCAGAAATTCTGACTCCGTTGGTCTGAGATGAAGCTAGCTGTGCACAGCCACGGCCCACACTTTGAGAAACCAGCCTAGTGTCCCTTTGCTGTGTGTTTCAAGCTGTATTTTATTACTGAGAAGTGGGTGAGATTGATTGACTTCTTTCAGTGTTTGTCTGTATAAGCGTGATGATTGCCTCAGGTATTTTCTGTGTTCTTAAGCTCCTAAAATGGTGGGGGTGGGCTTTGCGGTGTTACACCTGCCCTCAAGTTTCCTATCTTTCATTCAGAATGCAGGCCTAGGCCATGGACACTTTCATTTTTACCTCCTCTGTCCCTTCCCTGTGAATAGTGAGGGGAAGGCATGTTTCAAGTCACAACGGGGACTGCAAAGGGATCACATGGCTCTGTTCTGGACCAGGAGTGTTTCTAGCACCAGGTGCTTGGTGATGTGGGACAGCCCTGACCCGTGATCACGGGAAGTCGTGTGCTGTACGGGAAGGAGCCTGGGAAGGGCATGAGGGCTGTGTTCTCCAGCTCTGCAGTCAACTTGTTCA